AAAAAAATATCATATCAATATAAATAACAAAAAAATTTTAATAATGTTAACAAATTGTAATACTTTCCAAACAAAAGCTCCTTAGATTGGAACCTGACTCAAGAGTTATAACCTTAAGCTTGGGTAACACCATCAAATTCATTGTTGCTTCCTCTGCTTTTTCATTTGTGATAATATGCTCCATCATATGGCAATTTTTACTTTTATCTCTTTCAATTGCTAAAGCTCCAAAGCCATGGAAACAGTAAAAATGTACTTAAAGCTCTTACATTTGTAAATTTTCAAATATTTGAGATTTATGAAATCTAAAACTCCTTTAAGATTGTCCTTCCATATTTCTATTGACTTAGAAAATTTGGAAAGTACTACATACTCAACTCCTTAGTTTCCAACCTACAAAATCCAACAAAGAAAGAAAGATTAAGTTCAAAAGTACCCACAAACACGAAAGAAATAAAAATAGAAAACCTAGAGTTAAATTAAGCAAACAAATTAGAGCTGTTACGTAGGTACCTCTTCGACGTACAATTGCTGGACAGTACTGTTAAGGTCACCACCCCAACGTCCCTTATCATCTTCATCTGTTTCTTGTACTCTTTCCAGCATTGGCTCACTTAAAACTCCCTCACAGAAAATCTCCATTTCGGGACATTTGCTCACAGTTACCTCTGCTAAAGACGGGAACCCAAATGTTTGGTTGCCTGAACAAAAACTTTTAATTTGTGGTAAACCACAAAGTTCCAAACTTTTCAAGTTGCTGAAAACAATGTCGTATGCTGCCTCATCACCCTCGTTTCCAACTATTTCTTTCATTGAAAGGCACTGTCTTATCCTCAATTTTTTGAGTTGGGCTAGACTTTGGACTGCTAAAGATGTATCTAAGCATATCATTGCTTTGCAGCTCCGCACATCCAACGTCAAGAGAATTTGAAACGATGCTGAGGATGATCCTAAACTAATCAGTTTGTCACAACTCCCGACTTTAAAAGTTTCCACTTTAGGGAGAATGCGGTCTACTTGTACGTCCTGCCTCCATAATTGTTAGAGACTATGAAGACCATCCAATGTATGTTTTTACTCATAATAGATATCCAGGGGCATTTAGTAAAAAAGCGAAGGAAGGAAATTCTAAAATAATACAAATTTAACATTCGAGAACATTGGTGGATCATAAGGAAAAATCTTAAAGAATTTAAAAATAAGATAAACATATGCTTTAGAATGAGAAAAAGATAGAAGTTAATATATACCTTTTCACTGAAAAGAGGTAATTGATCATGTTATGTTGTGGAAGTAGAGTTGCTTTTTTCTTCAAAACAAAAACTAATGAGCTGTCGTAGATTTTGAAACATCAAAGATTGTAATTGAAGAAATTTATTTTTATCAACTACACCATTATCATTAGTGATATATTTGATCATCAAATCAATTTGGATATGGAGATTCTTCAACTGCGGTTAGCTTTCCTCATCTTTAAACTCTTGCATTGCAATCTTGACAGATTTAAGTTCATCTAAATACAGAGCTTCGGTATTCTTCAATAACAACTTAATTCCATGGTCCAAATGATCAATGCTTGTACTTAACTTGAGTTTCAGAGTTCTTAAACACTCATACTCACCAAACCATTTCCATACCTTTCCTATGAAAATCTTGTATCTTTTCAACTTTTGCATCTCTTTAAAGAGCAACCCCTCTAGCATGGCCTCAGCATTAGGAATATGAACTTCTAAAGTGGTCAAATACAATGTCTTCAATTCAGCAAGACTAGCATTGCTTTGTTGGTTGGCCTGTTCCCCTCTTTCCCATTGAATAAAAGTGCCACCCATATATAATTCTTCCAATTTGGACAAACTTGATAAGACACCTGGTGGAGTTATTTTCAGTTTAGTACAATCACTTAAATCTAATAACTTCAGCTTAAGCAGTTGCCCAATTTCCTTGGGTAGAGTTTTGATATTTGATTTCAAAAGGCTAAGAATTTCTAAATTCTTGAGCTCTCCAATAATGGCTATATCTCCCAATTCACATTGATCTAGGTACAATGTAAGAAGACTTGTTAGAAGACAAATTGATGAAGGTAAAGAAGAGAAATGAATCTGAGTCAAATCTAAGACTTTAAGATTTGTTGTTTCCCTAAAGAAGTTAGGTGGCATTTTCAGGGAAAGATCTTTGCTACAAATAAGGAAAAGAACAAGCTGTGGGCAATTCAACTCGTCAAGAAGCTCTCCAATAGTAGGATATTTCAAACAAATCCTGTTCCACTTTTTATTGTCTCTCCATCAGGCCAATCTTTTAGAACATCCTCCTCATTTAATGCGAAGACGTGATTGTACGTAGAAGTGATTGACATGGCGACATCATAAACAAGATCATGCATATCAACATCAAGTAACAAACAAGAGGCTTTGAGGTTACTCACCATTGTTAACAACCTATTTCGAGCTTCCTCCACCGGTGTTGACACCATTAGTTAAACCCAAACCAATGGCATATCTCAACAAGTAATCGATGCTATCATGATGCAGTAGACTACAAAGCAGGAAAGCCTGTTTAAGATCTTCACTTTCTAAGTGATTGTAACTCAACTCTTAGCTGAATATACGAATGCGGATATCCCAGTGAAGTTTTTGAGGAAGGCCTCTGTAGTTACCGTAGAGCATCATTCTAAGCATATAAACTTTTATTTCTCAATGTCCTTGCAACTGTTGCAATGGCCAGTGGCATCTTGCACATATTCTGGCTACCTCAGTTGCTGTAGATCGCAACTCACTGCTTTCAACACTTTCCCCGGCCATCGTCCTAAACAAGAGCCAAGCTTCTTTATCCTCTAAATCACAAATTGCAAAAGTTTTCTCTGCATCCATCTCATTGGTGAGAACATTTTGATCTCTTAACATCAACAATATCTTGCATCCCTTGTGTTGGTTCCCAAATGGAATTCCAACTTCCCCGAGATCCAATTTCTTCTAAATATCATCTAAAACAACAAGAACCTTCTTCTCTTTCTTCAAACTTTCGCACAATCTACATGCTCTTACAACCGTTTCTCCATGGATGGATTGTTCGTGACGAGTGTCCTTGTGCATGCCTTGACTAAATTGAAGAATTTAACCTTTTGTCACAAATACTTACATTTGCTTATAGAAATCGTGGAATGAATAATCTTTTAATTTTCCTTCTTTCCAAAAAGAAAACAAACCGAATGGTGATGTTTTGGCCCGCACCATTAATTGGTATAGAGAAAAAGAAAATGATGCAATGGGTGAAAAAGAAGACAAGGAAAAAGAAAGCTTCCAAAGACAGGAAACTGAAATAAACAACAATAACTTGAATGTTACAACGTAGAATCAAACTTTGATTATTTGTACAAGTAAAGTAACTGATTGTGGTCATTAAGAATATGTGATTTTTTCTTTGTCTTGCCTTTAGAATCCTGCTACTACAGTACACTGCTTCAATTTTTATATAATATGGTAAGTAATCAAACCCCCATATGTGAGTTATAATTGGTTGCTTAAATTT